GCTGCAGCTCTCTCTCAGGCCAAGTAATTTATTAGGTCAGTGACAGCGCGCAGTCCCACGACGCCAGAAGCAGGGTGCTGACAGCACCGACCGAGGCAGGGTAACGTGCCAGGTCTACTCAGGAAATCCCGACCACCAGAGTAGCAAGGGTAAGGAACAGGCCGTTTCCCCTGCCCCAGCCTGTATCTCAGGGGAAGGGTAAAGGCCCCAGCCTGTGCCTGAATGGAGGCCAAGGGCAGAGGGCATGGAAAGCCCTCAGCTACAGGTGAAAATGATCAGGACAATTAAGGTGTCCTCAGGGCACTGACAGCTCGCTCCGGAGTCACCACCTCAGAAGCTGGTGTGAACGTGGAGAGTGAGAGAGGTTTTGTATCCGCGGCAAGAATTTCAGGCAGGGTAGTGTGAAACTGTAGTCAGATTCAGACCCGTTGACAGCAAACAAAGTGTGTTTCAGCATTACAGAAACCGGGTTTCTGATATGTTATGTGTTTACTGACCCAGGCCCAGTAAAACCTTGTGTGTGTGCACAGAGGTTTGTGCCTTTCATAGCTGTATAGAGTTGTTGCTTCACGCCCTGGTCTTGCATATGTATCCTAAAGATAGCTTTGTTAATTCAAACTAAAATCTATCCTTAATCATTCACAGAGCTATTTTGCTGTTCTTCAGATATCTCTGTAGAACTTTTCTATGTCCTGTTGTGGTTTTAAAGTTTTTTTGCTATCATGCTGATTTAGAATTACCAGCATATTTCAAAGCATTTTCTGAATTATACATGCCTAAACAGTAAGGGGAGTTCTGAGCAATTTTTTCTGTAGTGCTTGGTATAGCTCATCTGTCACTGGAGTTTTTAAAAAGTAAACTAAAATTTAAATAATTTTCTTCTATTAATTGCCTGGTTAATAAAATTAGTAGTATCATATTCAGTATTTGGTGCCTGAGGCAGTAATTCTTAAAAATCCTAATTTAATTCTGATGTTGATGGTCAGTGTCTCTGTTTGTTGTTAGTAGATGTGAATGGAGTCTCAGTATCTGAAGAGATGCCTGGGAAGTTGCTTGAAAAAGGGACTGGCAGAGGTGGTAGAGCATCGACCAGCAGATCCAATAGAGTATTTGGCACATTGGATTTACAATTACAGAAGAATCTTAGATGAAGAAAAAAAGGTGGATCCATCTTAGGCAAAAAAATTAATGACAATATAATTCACACTTTAATCTCTCTATTTTTTTAAAAATTGGTTTTGTGTTATATCTAAAATAGAGAATGTTGGAAAGGATTGAGCTGGAACGAGAACGTAAGGCGGCCCTGGTAGAACTCGAAATGTTTAAAAAACTTAAGGAAGAAGAGCTAATGATCCAGCAGCAACCTGAAGAAGAACATCAGGTTAATAATACTCAATAATTCTAAATAAATAACATATGATGCTGTGGCATCTTTTAGTGCTCTGTATACTTCCAATGTCTGTATAATGATTTTGATAAAAGGTAGCAGAAAACAAATATTTTCATCTTTTCTAAATAAATGAAATTATTAGCACATGGGAAGAAAAACTTACTATGCAGTAAAGTATTATAAAAAATATTGAAGGAGTCTGAGGTTAAAAATAAGCAATTTAAGACTTACATGAGAAGTAACTTAACATAAGTAGACTGTCATCTGTAGTTAATTATGAAAAAGAGCTGGTGTAAGTAAAGAAATCATTGCAAAAATTGTTGACAGGCCTGCTAGGAGACCTGGGAGTAATAACTAATTGTCTCAAGCTACTTCAATGTAATATCAGTAAGACAAAAAAAGGTAATGTGAATGTATACACAATTATAGAGTCCTGAAAACAGTTGGGAATCAGTGAATGAAGATTGCATATTTAAGCAGAATGCACAGCCTGATCCAATGAGATGCCTTTTTCTTTCCATAGCTACCTTAGCATTCTGTTGGCATAAAGCAGTTTGAATCCTATACTGTGTGTATTTGAAATACGATAAATAAAGATAATAGCTGTGTTTCTAGCTATCCTTTATAAAGGAGTCGTGTGAATTTGACCACATGTGTAACAGCCTCTGTTGCTGTGGTAATGTTGACATTGACTGGATTTTTTTACATGGCTGACCTTGATAATGCTAAAATCAAAAGTGTAGTTTTAAATCTGCGCTGATCTTGTTAAGCCCAGTTCTAGTGTAAGATGCATTCATTCTATTTCACTTGCACTTTTAAAATTTGGAATTTACTAATTTTCAGACCAAATGTGCTCAAGGATTCAATGCAAATGGAATTTGATTTATATTCTTGATTCCAGTAGTAAATAGAATCAAAAATATGAGATTCTATGTAGAGAGAATTCACAGAAAATTAAATAAATTAGTTCATGTAAACTAAGGGAAGGATGTTGAACAATAGTCACATTAGGCACATTTTTTTTAAAACCTAACTCATGATTTTGCCTATAGTCATATGCTTAGGCATGTTTTAATTATATGTGCCAAAATGGAATGCAAAAACTCATTACTAAAATATGGCGATGTTTGCAGTAACTGCTCACAAAATCCTACAGCAAACAGTATTGTCTAGGCTCTAGTTTTGTTGTATGGAAGCGCTTAGATTATGCAGTTTCTGAAGATTTCATGCAATAGAACTTAGGCTTACAAAGAACAAACACTTTGTATTAGATATTTCCAATTGGAAATTTTAAAGGTTGGTGATGAAAATGATTCATGTTATTGACATTGCTTACCAATCTTCTCTATAGATTTGATTCTATGTGGATTCAACTGTCTGTGCTAGAAGTATCAAAGAGCTTAATCTAAAGTATAGGATATAATATTGACTGATAAAGAGCATGCGGAATGAGTATGTTAAATGTGTGTGTACACTTCAGTTGTCTATTTCTTCTTCCTCTTGGTAGTGAAGCCTTTATACCCATGCAAGTTTAAAACCTATGAAAATATTGAGTCAGATGATACTGAAAGGACTTTATGTTGTTAACACTGAAGATATGTTTTATGCTTCCTTTTTTATTTTATTTAAGATTTCAGTCATGAAATACATTGTAAGCAGTTGGGTGATGAATATCAATGTGGGTTTTTTTTTCTTTCTAATTTGTCCTTTCTTAAACTGACTGCAGGCTCAGCTGGAACAAGAACGTAAGGAGTTGGAACTGCAGAATGAAGATGAAATGGTGTTGCAGCAGAAAAATCAAGAGGTTTAAGCCAAAGCTTAGTTGTTTAAAAATACTGTTAATCAGCTATCTTTTCCAGATGCAGGCACTAAATATGAAACACAAGGCAGAAGATCACGGGTGTTCCATTAACACATAATTTAAAAGAAAATATGTGAAAGTGAGGGAAGAATGTCTAACACCTTGCTTCCATCTTGGGTTTTATACTTGAATTTTGGTCTGTTCTATTAGGTTTATTTAGTTTCTTTTCAGAACAGAGCATAAATTTATTGCAAAATTTAACACGAGGTCAGCTTAGTGGATGCTTTCACATTTCTTTGATTATTTTTGTAAGAAAGTATTATAACTTAAGCATGTCTAATTTAAGTGTCTAGACAGTATTGTTTTATGGTGTGTCAGCACAAAGTCCATTTATTGTACTTGGAAAAGGAACTGTGGTTTGGAATTGGGATGTGTCTTGATTCTGAAATCCTCCTGGTGCACAGGAATTTATACTAATGAAAGAACACATATACAGATGTCCATGTAAATGTGTGGTATTTAATGCTATTTTAATAAAAACATAGACATAATTGGTATGTTTATCTCAATAAAGCTTTTAAATGTGGATATGTCTTAAATTTGCATGGAGCATATAATATTTTAGAGATATGTACGTTTTTAGAGCACTCTGTTAAAATCCCGACAACATAATTGTAGAAAGATGACAATACGAAAGCGATAGGAAAAATGAATATGTAGAAATTTAAACCAAAATTCCTGTTATTTAAAAATCCACTGATAAAAATAGTCTTAACAACCACACAAAGACCATATTTACATACTAACACATTTGTATAGCACACACCTAAAGTATTATCTTTATATTCATACTTAAAGTCATTTTAACACATCTGAAATGTTCTCTATAGATAATTATTATTCATGACATGGAATACTTTTAACTGAAAACTAGTTTTTCATTACCACAGGAAAATGAAAAGACGACAGCTGAACTTACAGATAGAGCTGGAGCACCTAGTTTGACCAGTTTTGCAGAACTAGATGAGGCTGGACAGGTTGAGGTAAGTGTTGAGAAAGAACACGGAGATTATAAATTATTGAGTCTTACAGATTTTCTTTTCTTTGCTGACATATCACAGGTTAAAACTGCTGCAGTTAAGACTCTGCTGGTTTTCTCCTGTGGTTTTAAGGGATGGTATTTTGGCTACAACCTCCAAACTGTCTTTAGCTTGTTCTCTGGTACAAGTTAAGCCATTCTAAAGACTGTGTGGTGTTTGCTTACTAAATCGTCAAGATTTAAAATGCCCTTTTGTATCAGATATGTTACAAATGACAGTATGAATATTAGAATAATAGAGTCGAAGAATGGTTTGTGTTGGAAGGGACCTTAAAGATCATTCTAGTCCAACCCACTTGCCATGGCCAGGGACACCTCCCACTACACCAGGTTGCTCAAAGCCCTGTCCAACCTGGCTTTGAGCATCTCCAGGGAGTGGGCATCCACAACTTCCCTGGGCAACCTGTGCCAGTGTCTCACCATCCTCACAGTAAAGAATTTCTTCCTAATATGTAGTCTAAATCTACCCTCTTCTAGTTTAAAACCATTACCCCTTGTCCTATTGCTACCTGCTGTTGTAAAAAGTCCCTCCCCAGCTTTCCTGTAGGACTCCTTTAGGAACTGGAAGGCCACAATAAGGTCTCCCCAGAGCCTTCTCTTCTTCAGTCGTTCCCCATAGGGGAAGTGTCCTCTGATCATCTTCATGGCTCTCCTCTGGACCCACTCCAACAGCTCGATGTCCTTCTTATATCGGGGGCCCCAGAACTGGACACAGTACTCCAGGTAGGGTCTCATGAGAGCAGAGTATAGGGGCGGAATCACCTCCCTCGACTTACTGGCCACGCTTATATTCTCAGAGAGGAGGCAGCCTTCCTTTGCCATGTGAACAGATTGTCATATGCAATATGTACTACATCACAAAAGATGATTCTTTTTTGAGTGATTGAAGTTATTTATATTTTTCTGGTTGGTATGAAATCCACTTGGTGAGAATCTGGTTATCTGAGTCCTGTGCCAACATGAATGCACTGCTTTCAATGCTACAATTATGGCTTTATACTGTGATCCTCAGATGTATTCTATGCCCAGTTTTGGTTTGTTGGAGTTTTTTTTTTCATTCCTTTTATACTTTACAGTCCAGGGAAATGAGAGGCCGTGAATCAGCCTTCATTTTATTATAAGCCATGGCAGTACATTTAACAGATACTGCCAACTCCTGCGAAATCACTCCAGTGATGAGTATTCACTGGTAATAAAGATATTGATATTTATGTGGCTTTTTCCAATTAGAGTATTTCAAATGGTATGACTTGAGATTTTGATACACTAGTTTTAGTACGTCGTCAGCAGAGCCCTTTTTCCTTTATTAGTCTTAAAAATTTGCTCACTTAATTTCTTGTATCAGTAGCATCATTCTAGCTCAGAAATTATATTATGATATTAGTATGCTTAAGGTTACTTTAATAACAGCCTGTTTATAAGTGTTCTCTCTATATATTTCTGAACATACCTATGACGTAGGGTCAGGTTTTCCCAGGTGGTTTTTTCACTAAGGTAAATCAGATGAGTTCTCAAGGTGTTGTATAATCCCAATTTTTATAGTTTTCTGATAATTACATATTAAAAAGGTATTCTTGAGGCTTCAGGCCTATTTATTGTGTTCTTAAATAAGTGAATCACAAAACCAGAAGTGAAAATGAGTAGTAAACTTAACCTGCTTCTCCTTATGTGTGCCATCTTCCAAGTTTTCATGCCAAAAGTCATTAAAAGTTGTATTACGTTGGACTTTGGTTATGTTATTTCAGATTTTTTTAATATGTTTTAATATGTTTGTTGAATTAAACTAAAACTAACAATAAAATAAATAATAAAATTAAAATATATAGACTTGTACTATTGAAGCTATTCTTTTCTCAGAATCTTAATACTTCATCTAGACTCACTGGATTTTGTAACAAAAACCTGGTGATAAACTTCATCATATTTCATTGAATGGAAGAATACATAATTATGCTGATGACTTGTCTGTCGTGTGGATTTTTTCTTTTTTATTCTTCACAAAGTTCAGTTAATGCTGGCAATTGATGGGATTTCTTTTTTGTTTTTAGAGTACAACAGATGACATGTCAGAATCGGAACAAGAAAGTTCCCAACTAGCCTGAAAGCAGTAAATACATTTTCTTCTCATTATTATCTGATCCTGAAGTGTAATGTCTTAATTCATGTATTTTATATATAGAACTGAATTTACATACCTGTTATTTCAGTTTTTATGCTTTCTGGGTGTATAAAGTCTGTTAATTCTGGCATGTGATGCTTTCTTTTTGTTCTTAAACCATTTTAGCTAGTACAGCTGACTTGGAGGAAGAAAACTGCAGTTGAAATGAAAGCAATAAATATATTCTCTACTTACTGCTCATTGATTTTTGAAGTGTAACAACATAATAATTATTTATATAATTAATATGTCAGGATTATTTTGGAGTAGAGGCTACAGTATGATAATTTTGATCAATATTAAAATAATAAAGATTATTGAAAAAGGATTTTCCAGGAATTTTGATTATTTCTGATATAAAGAGGGAATGCTCTATAAAAGATGGAGAGCTCTGCACATCAAACTTGATGCAAAAATCAAACCAGAGGATTTTCCAACTTATCTGGAAGAGATAAATTGAACTTCATGTGACTCAATAGACAGATGTACTGAAAGATCTTGTCTGTCTTGGAAATCATGAGGTACTTTTTGTAACACTAGGTGTTTACTCTAGGCTTTATAATAACTTGATATTAAGTGAGCCGCAAAATTTTGCATATCAGTGTTGATTAGTCATGTCTTAAAATAGGCTTTCCTGCATTTGTCTTGAATTTGCAAATCAATAAATGACAAATATGTTGTCTTTAGTCAGTACCATTATTAGTTACCAAAGCTTCACTTCTAAATAATTTGAAGAATCTTTAGCTTGAGTCATACTTATCTATAAAAATAAGTTTTGTAATCCTTAATGAGTGCATTAATTTTCTCTGCACTTTATAAAGAGTGCTGAGGAACAAATTCCTGTAATCGCTGATATCTTGGTACAGATAGTCAAGAATGTTCCATGTCTGTTCATTATATATGGAAAAGGCACCAGCATTAAGAAATCCTATGCTTCTCAGCTAAAACATGCTTTTGTATATCAGTGTCTTCTAACAGCACAGGTTAGTAGGACAATTAACATTAAGTCATTGCCAATATTGTGTAATGAAAATACTCTTTATTACAGATTCACAGTTAGTGTATTCACTGCGTTCTTCAGTTATGGGATGAAAGAGATTTTTGGGATAAATTCACTTTAATTTATTTATTTTATAGCCAGCTTTAAGGGTTTTGCTATCTTTGGCAGACTGTTAAAATATCTAAATACCCAGTAGGCAAAGGTCAATCATGTAATAAATGTTTTTCTTCTCTAAAGAACTTGTTTTGTTCATGTAGCTTGTACTAGGCATAATCCTATCAATTTTTTAAAAGGTAGGCACTACTTATTTTTAGTATAGTAATATATTATTTTTCCCTTAACTATAATAAAGTATGTTTCTTTTAGAAAATCTTGTCACCCTCTTTATTGCCATATTGCTTTTTGGACACTGTTAACTGGCATGTCTTATATGAGTATTGTTAAAATCAAAACGGAAAAATGTCACTTTGTTTGTTTAACTTAAGTAATGAAAAACAGAACAAGTTTTGTGACTAGGTGGTCAGGCTTTGTAATCTACATTTATTCTGCATTGTTGTAACTTTGCAATTTCTATGACAGTCAAGAACTTTCTCTGTGGAATGAATATGCCCTTATGGTTGATAATCCAGTAAACTGATTTTGTCACAGTTTATGATTATATTAGTAACAGTTAAAATATTATCATTTTAAGGCCACATTTTAAGATACTACAGTCTAAATACACCTGTTAACACTGTATGCTGAGCAGCTTCTTGTGCCAATCTCAAAGGAGTGGAGTAACTGTGATGGAGATTCTCTTTTGAGCCAGTATGTACAACTGAATCATGTTATTTAGATTAAAATTTTCAAAAGTTGATAAGTAACCGGTATCCATTTACATTTTATGTCCAATAATGTTGACTATGAAAAATTCAGCCTTCGTATTTCATTAGGAAATATGTTCGAGTTATAAGACAGTATTTTAAAACATGCTAGTAAATAATTCTGATTACTACTTCTAACATGTGATTTTCATTTTCTATCTTTTCTTAACATTTGTAGCTTTATTTGATTTTGTTATAAGTGTGTCCACTAGAGTGCATCCTAAATAAACACAATGGTGGCTCTGTCAGTTAACGCCCATGAAAGCTACAACTAATGTTTGTCATTTTGTTTCATCTTATTTTTAACTGTGACTTCTTTCAGATCCTGCAGTTCATATTCCCTGTTCTCTTTTTTGGATGGAAACTTTTATCAGGAAATGGCTTAGCAAGGGTCAAAATAAAATGGTAATTCCCATTTACCTACTCCTCTGCTGTTATATTTTGTGCAGAAGACATAAGTTGTTCAAATGTTATTTATAGGAGCTCCCATTTTTTCAGGATTTGGCGTGCATAGACCTAGTGCACTGATTGTCTTTTACAGCTTTATAGGAATACTTATATTGGATATAGGATCAGCGGGTAAACAGTTCTTGGCTCAGTGCTTTCTTAAGATGGAAAGCAGCTTGTAGGTAACTGTAGGAAATGTAGCTTAAAAAAATGACTTTTTCTTGGGGGTCTAAGTCTGGAAGGAAATTAAGGCATCTTAAAATAATCTTTGGCTTCTCCTTCCTAATTTTAACCTTCTTTGGAGTATAGCAAGCTAGAGCCTGGAACAGGAAGAGAACAGAGAAGTAGATACAATTTTGTTTTTACTGCACATAATGTGATTCCAGAGTTGTTAATACTATTTAACCTCTCCATAAAAGTCATATATTGAAAAAAAAAATGCAATTACCTAATTTTAACTTAAGCTACAGCTTGTATTCCTTTTGAATACATTTTTTGGAATGAGGAAGATGGAATTTGGAGGCATATGATGGAAAATGCTACTGAAAATAAAATGCTAAATGTTGATTTATGTAATTGCCATTTTTCCTTTCTTTAAAATAGGAGCAGACTTATTTAGGCTGCTATCAGAACCCATGTACAGATCTTCCAAAGAACGTGCTGATAGTAACGTGCCCGTTCACAGCTGTTCTCATTCCAGCAATACTGAAGCATAAGGATGTAAACAGATATGAAGCCCAGAATAGGACAAAATTAATCAGATTAACTATCAGTTTGCTCACAAGGAGGGAAACTCAGCTCTGCAATGTGAGAAGCTTTTTTCCTAGAAGGAGATACACATGTTGCAGCAAGCACATTTTAATTTTAACAGAATAAGCTTTATTAAGTCTGCAGTCTCCTTTTTATGATGGGTGATTTTCCTTTGTAGTTTAAAGGAACTAACTTATCTTTTTGTAAGCAAAAGCTTTATACAGTAATTTGCTAATGATAATGAGTCTCAGATGCATTGGTCTGGATTAAATGTAAAATTGAATTCCTCTGAACCTTGCTAATACAGTTTACTCATTTGAAGTCAGCTATTAATTGCTTTACTTCTGTGTCTTTCCTGTACTTAGGTTAGATAAAGAACAGTGCCGTCTATTGATTACAGCTAGAAGAGAGAGTCTAACACTGTTATTTTCTGATAAGGATTGATCTACTTTTTAAAATCTCTTACCAGTACACTTCTTTCATGGTTTTTTTTTTAACTTTTGTTTGTTTTCTGTCTTTACCATTATTAAACCTCATACAGCCTTTGTGCTTTATACCTGTGTATTTGTTTCAGTTTATATGATGGGAAAAGCTATTATATTATAAAGATTTATGTAAGTATTATTGGGCTAAGAGAAGTGGAGGAAAGGCAAGGTAGAGGAATATGTCATTTAATCAAGCTGTCACAGTGTAGCAAACTTTTTAAGAAGCAGAAGACAGATTCACAGGGTTTGAGAGCTCTCAAATGTATATCCAGCTTAAATGCTGTGGTCTCCCCTGTTAACCTGCACCTTCATTATCATAAACCCAAATCAGTGTTAAACTTCAATCAGAGATCAGAATTGTTGCTGTTTATACTATGTTTTATTTGAAATAAGTTACTCTAGAAGTTGCTACATCATGAGAAATTACATTCACTAGCGCCTGTGTGGGCATGCTGAGTGCTTCCGTTTTATCTTTAGTTGTAAGGCACCCAAAATCAATGGCTGTTTCGAAAATAATTGAGATGACCATTTCCTTAGGTTAGTCCTTTGACTATATGGACATGAGTTAATTGAGAGGGAGGTAAAAAAAAAGTAAAAGTGAGTATGTTAAACCATTTTATTATTAATTCCAAGCATGTTTGTATTGTCAGCTGAAAGTAAAACAACAGGCAAACAGTCAGGTAATGTAATAAGTAAAGAAGGTTCCCATTTGCTTCTTGTTCGTTAACCTTATTTGAGTTGATATCTATTATTAAAGCTGTACTGATATTTCTACTGACACAGAAATAGATACTTCACTAAAAATCAAAGCTCTTCCCCATCATTTTGCATCTGACATAATTTAAAATTTCAGTCTACTTTAAATGATGATGTGAAGATGGGTTTGATTTAGAAAAAAGTATTAATATTTAGGAATATCATACCAAAGTTATCTGAATAATGTTACCCTCTCTAAAGAGTATTTAGAAGTTTTAGGATTTTTTTTAACAAACTCTCCAATAAGATTTTGCCACTTTCTGCATGTCGGCACTCGTGGATCTCAACAGAAGCTGCTATTTCTTTTTTTTTCCCCATAATCTTGGGAAAGTAAGTATGAAAAAATACATGATTTTAGCTTGATGCAAGAACCCATTGGTGTTTCAGTTTAGCAAATATTATTCTGGACAAAAGAAATTATTTTACTCAGTGGTTCCTCTATAATTTAAATGTACTTAAGTAGATTCTAGATAAAGAAATTAGCTTTCTCCAGGGGAGGAGGAGGAAGTATGTCTGAACTTGTTCAGTATCTTGGTTAGTCTGTTTTTCTTAATGAACTGAATCGTATTTTCAGCTCTATAATGGAGCTGATTGCAGTTGTTTTCTTTCAAAAACATTGAAGCAAAAATGTTTTGTTGCTCTG